TTTCTTATAGAGCACAACAGTGCAGTATATTAAATATTCGTGTTCAGAGCTCTCATGGTGGACTGCACGGTATAGAGGGTAATACAGAATACGTGATCAGGTAAACACAAACATATAAACTCCTCTTTGCGCGTGACGATGCCTGTGAAGAAAGCTGTAATGATAGCCTGGTCTAGTGGATTCTCAAGCTCGTAGTCAACGCCGCTCAATAGAAAAAGGGAATGTAAAGTTTTTTTTTTTTTTTTTTTTTTTTTTTTTTTTTTTTTTTTTTTTTTTTTTTTTTTTTTTTTTTTGTCGCTTGAGCGATCGTCAGAAAGCCGATCGAGTTTCTACATCCTGATCACTTGAAATAATACCCGTTCTACTTTTGTGGTTTCCATGATTCGTTACACTTGCAGCTAAAACTGAGTCACCGCCAGCTGCTCTTCTATCCCCAATGAAACTTCAACCCTTTTGCGACAAGAGTTCGAGTACGCAGCGGAATGTTTCTGAACGCGGGCACCAGTGGTCTAAGTAACGAATTAACTAATTAACTAAGTAAATAAATAATCTAATTAACTCCTCACGTTGCGCGTTGGCGTGCAGTTTAAGCCAATGCACTGATATGAGAAAGGATACAAAAGGCCGCTGGGCACCCAAGCGGAATTTCTTTGCTTCTCGCCCCCCTGTACACTTCACAGAGAAAGCTAAGCCACTGAGACCCAGTCGCATGTCTCAGTTTCTTCCAGGGCTCTCCTGTGTTTCCTCCATATATTTCAGAGCTGCTGCAAGCTGGGTTTGTGTGTGAATACCCGCAGCTCTGGGCTGGCTACCAATGAGCATATTCAACCTGGGGTCAGAGCAGGGTATTTCTTGTTTTATGTTTAAAAGAATTCACACAGTGAAAAAAGGCAAAAAACAAGTGTGGTAGCTTTTTCTTCCTATAGAGTTTCAAATACGGCACAAGTGTGCTGTTGCTACGTTCAGCTTGGCCATCTCCTTCCTGCTTATTCGTGGTGATTGGTTTCTGCTTGATGCGAAGTTGTTTCATGAACGCGCGCGAGAAACCGCTAAGAAAGTTTTTATCCCCGTTAGTAGTGGTGCGTTTGAGGGTGGTATGGAGCATTCAGAGATGTTTTGTGTATAATAGGGAAACTTACTCTGCTATTCGTGAGCTGAAACAGGGGATAAAGCGTTCAACTTCTCTGAGCCTACCCACAACAACATGCGTGCCCCCCGCTGAGTTACCCATGGCATGTGTATGGCTATCGTGTACTGGTCAAACCTAAGTCTTGCATCATGGTAACGGACCCCATACCTGAATTGAGAGAACATCTTACACCCTCTGTTCTACGGATACTCATCTCTTGTGCGGCGGAGGCGGAGCATAGACCCTGCGACTTCGACGAGTTCTGCCTGAGCTCACTTACTGCAGGATAGTTGGTGGCTGCATGCCTCTCTCCATACAACAAGCCTACAATGAATCATTCATACAGAAGCTCGGCATCTAGTGTGTAATTTGGGTTGACGGATAGCTGATACTTGCCAATGTAACGGTTGATCGATCGCCTCCGCTGTGTAAGTTTTCTTGATTCTGATGCAGCCTGCTCTATCGGCAAGCTGCGGTAAAACTGGTGTCGCAGCACACATAGAAAAGCTTTCATCTTTTTCATAGGATCCTGAAAGTAAGTATCTTTGCTCATGTAGAGTCACCAGTATTGTGCCAACTCTGTAATAAAGGATATCTCGATAGTAACTGCAACTAGTCGTGCACACTTTCAATAACAAAGATGCTCGCGCACTGCGGCGCCGGTTATATCTATACTGCCGGTACAGGCGAGAACATTCTGCATGAAGTGTTGGAGAAAAAATTCTCATATGGATGGAACACGGGTACTACTGTCATTCCAATGCCCAGTCATATATCGCTTCCCCGCCAGCGGCGAGTTCTGATCAATCTTCTTCATTTCAAACCGAAAAAAACTGAACCTTCGCCGTATACTGATAGATGAACACTCAGAGGTTTTCTTTTTTTTGTTAGGGGAAGAATATTCACGAGTACACGTTGCTCAGCATCAAGCATCCCGCCTTGGGTGTTGACTCCGAAGCCTGCGTTTGCCAACCGCTGCCTTGCTGCGGCTGCGCCGCCAACTTGAACGAGCGGGTGTGGCCTTGGCCTAGGGCCTTTGTGGGCGCAAACACGGAGGATAGCAATTCCCCACGAAGCAGATGGCTCCCTGAAGCTCTCCAGATGTACGGATCACAGCGGCGCCAAGGCCTGAGGCTTGTGTGGAGAGGCGGCAGCCTTTTCTTAGTTTCAGCGTTGTTTGCTGCAACTGTCGCCTCAAGGCAACCATACATGTAAGCATAGCAAGCACAGCCAGTTCCCCAGCCGATGCATGCAATCACGGCGCAGGCAATATTAAACACGTACGGCGCTCTCAGTAGCCACAATTCGCAAAAACAACAGGTCATCGCCGAACGGCCACCTGGCCCTACTACGTGGCGGCCTAGTGGCGTCTCTGCCCCCTCATCCGACGCAACAGATACAAACGTCAAAATACTACAGCCCTTCGTTAGTTGCGTAGCGACTGCGCCTCGCTAACCACTGTGCGGCCAATGTGGAATACCGTTGCAGGAACTGTGGAAGGTATACGTGTTTGCTGCTGAGGCAGATGGCTGAGACTGCTAAGAAACAGAAGGCCATCAGGTTGTTTCTGCTTCGTTATAGCAATATTACGTAAAAGAATATCAGTTGGCGAGAGTCGAACGCAGAAACCATGTGGAGAGGCGCCTGCGTTAGCTGTGCGCCGGAGCCCCACCTCATGGATCTTTACAGCAGCAGCAGCAGCACCAGCAACAACTGCAGCTGGAACAGCTGTTGCATGCGTCGTTGCACGCACAGTTAGTTAGGGCTATGTCTGGCTCTCGTGCAGCTAAGAGAAGGTCACTGTGCGTCCGAGCACTGATCTGGGGGCCCGTTGGCGGTTAGCTTAGCTGGGGCTGTGGTGTCTCCTGCTGCAGAGGACGCAGCAGCGGGTGCAGCAGGGGATGCGGACAACGCTGTCTCTTGCAGCAGCAAGATGATGTCGTCTTCCTCCTCAAAGCCCAGCGCCCTGAACAGGTGCTGTAGCTTAGCAGCACTGCTCGCGTCCAATGCTGCACGCCGTTGCAGCAGCAGCTGCTGCAGCGGGACTAGGAACCGTCGCACGCTGGGAAACACCCTGCAGCAGCAGCAGAAGGACTGTCACAGGCTGTGTCAGTGCACATACAGGTCCACCTCTGCATGCAGCAGCAGCCCCAAACACTACATGCGCCGCGAAGGAACCCAAGACGGACCTTGCGGGACAGAGTCCCCCGGCAATGCAACAGAAGCAAAAGAGTAGTAGTAGGAGCAACTAAGTCCGTCTGAACCGCTGGGCCCCCCTCAGCACTGTCTCTACTGAGTGAGTGCATGCATGTTTATTCTTCAGTTGCAGTTTGGGGCCCCCTTACGTGCAGTTTGCAAGAGTCTCTGCGATCCTCAGGACGGGCTGGACCCCCAGAGCTGTGGGTGTGCGCTGTGGCGGTAAGGAGATTCCTCCTTCTACAATTTTGTCTCCTTTCGCGTTTATCCCCTGCTGCGGAATCCGCACAAACTCCAAAAATACTGCAACCATCCACTCTTCAAACAAACGCTCCCCTGCAGCCAGCGCCTCAGCTGCCCCGTAGGCACCCCGAGGAGGGGGCCCATCAGGGGGCCCCTCAGGAGACCCCCCAGGCTTGTCGCTTGCGTGCTGCTCTCCGAAGTACCCTGTGGGCACGCCGCTGCACGGGCCCCTGCGGCGGGCTGTCTGTACACCCCAAGGCTGCAGCCGTGCTAGTTGCGGCTGGGTGGAGGCCCAGTGCTCCCCCGACACAGCAGCAGCGCAGGGCCGCAGCAGCACACCGAGGGAATGTAGGCAGCTGAGACGCGTGCTGCTGTCGAGCGGCGAAGCAGCAACACCGGCGGCGAGAACGGGGTGCAACGGCAGGGTTTCCGCACCAGCAGGGTCAGAAACAGCAGCAGCTGCTGCTGCTGCTCCTGCTGCAGGGGCCAGGGGGCCTCCACTGCTGCTCGGGACCCCCGCAGTCGATGCGCTTGAGAGCTGTGCAAGCCGCTGTATTGTCTTGAGAAGGTCCTGGGGGGGGAACGGGAGCCTCCAGCGCGCGAACGTGTGCAGCAGCGCTCCTAGCTGGTGCGGCATAAACAAAGGCAACGCTGCTACAGTTGCTTTCCTGCAGCCACCGCGGAATGCATGCAGAAATACAATATTAAATAACCAAATTAAACTAATACACGCAACAAANTGCAGCCACCGCGGAATGCATGCAGAAATACAATATTAAATAACCAAATTAAACTAATACACGCAACAAAACACAACCACCGCTGCCCCCCCCAAGAGGTTTTCTGCTAACACGCTGAGGCAGCAACGCCCCTTGAAGACCCCAGCGGCCCCCCGTGCAGCCACACACAGCACAGGGGACAAAAGAAAAAGAAAGAGTAAACTGTTTCCATCAACCAAAGGATACTATGAACCCTCAACAAGAAAGTATATGTGAAGTGTAGGCTGCGCTTTCGTATTCCTAGAATGCCCCGGCCACACACAACACAGACGGGTACACACAACGACGAGCAGGTCAGCAGCAGCAGCAACAGCAGCAACGACAGCAACAGCAGCGGGAGCAGCAACATCCATATGCTCTCCTAGCACAGGCCGTGCTGCCAGCTGCGAACGGCCTCGCCCTAACAACTGCTGCACTTGTGCCTGGGGTCGGTGCAGCGGGGGGGGCAGTCACCTGATATGCTGCAAGACAGCCTGCAGAGCTTCTGCGTCTGTCCCTTGAGACTGCAGCAGCGCCAAGCCAAAGGCCTGTGCTGCAACCGCCAGATCCGCAGGAGAGGCAAAGGCAATGCGCTCGGAGACAGCCTCTACACAGGCATTGAACAGACGTCTATGAGGAGCAGCACAAGCAACCTCCTCGCTGCTGTTGCTGCTGTTGCTGCTGCTGTCGCTACTGCTAATGCTGCTGCTGCTGCTGCTGCTGTTCGTCGTCACGCCTCCTGCTGCTGCAGCAGCTGCTGCAAGCATTTCATGAGGGCACCGCTGCGCAGCAGCAGAGGCGAAGGCCTGCAGCAAACGGGCCATATCGAGGATAGTTGCTTCCGCCAGGCCATTCATCGCCTCTTCTAAACACACACAAAAACACACAAACAACATGCCTGCTGCTGCAGCGTCTGCTGCTGAAGTTTCTGCTGCTGCAGCGTCTGCTGCTGCAGCGTCTGCTGCTGTGGTCGTTGCAGTGCCTCGTGTGTTGTGTGCTGGGTGGAGGCGGGCTACGCGTGCGCGCAGGTTTCTGCTCTCTATGGCTTTAAGGGTTTCTGCTCGCTACTTCAGGTTTGGGGCTTAGGGTTTAGGGTTTAGGGCTGCAGCTGACCTGCTAAAGTAGCAAACAGCGTTGAGTCTGTGTAGGCGGCGCATGCGAAGCCCTGAGCCACCACGGCCAGGTCCCTCACGGGGAGCCGGGATCGCCGCACCAGCCGCTGCACGTGGGCAGCAAGCTCCTCCAGCAGCGCCGTGTCCGCAAGCTGCAGCCCGCAACAGCAGCACAAGCAGCAGCAACAGCCACAGCAACGCATCAGCAGCAGATGCGGGGATCCGATCCCCATGTCTCCCCAAGGGCGCTTCAGCCTCAAACCAGACACAACCAAAGCTAGCGCAGCAGCAGCAGCAGCATCAGCAGCAGATGCAGCATCAGCCAGAGGTAAATGAACGGCAAGAAAGAGTTGGTTCCTGCAGCAGTGGGAGGTGCCCAGCAGCAGCACGTACACCGCAGCAGAAAGCTGGGGTGTCTGCGTATACACCTGAGAAGCGGGTTTGTCTTACGCGCATTTTTACTGCAGCATTCAGTACCATGGCGACCTCAAAAAGAAACTCAAAACCCCCAGCAGCCAACAGCAAAAGGATGCGGCGATGAGCAGCACGCAGCAGTGTTGCACTGAGAGGCACAGAAGCCCGCGAGAGAGCAGACAGAACCTGGGCCAGCTGTAGCTGCAGACAACCACCGAAGCACTGAACCCCTACACTAAACCCTAAACCCTAAACCCTAAATACTTACCCTAGACCTCAAAACCCTAAACCCTAAACCCTAAACCCTACCTAATCAATAAACCCTAAACCATAAACTTACACACTAAACCCTAAGCCCGAGATTCAACCCTAAACCCTACATAAAGAAGAAACCGTAAGAGCTACCCCTAAACCCTAGACCCTCATACATCAGTCTCTAGCCCTAAACCCTTAAACCCTAAACCCTATCAACGCCAGTAAAGATAAAAGTGAGCAAACTGGAGACAGGAGACGGGGGAAAGGAGACAGGGGAGAGAATGGAGGAGACAAAAGCCGAGCGACAGAAAAAAGAAGAAGAAAGCAAGGAGAAAGGAGACAGGAGACACACAGTACTGAAAGAAGACATAAATGTCTCCGCGCGGGGCGCCAGCGCCGCCGCTGCTGCCTTCAGGCTCTCCTCAGGGCACCGCCCCGTCTTATGGATCGCATGCAGCACCACAGCCAGCTCTGCGGGAGACAGCGTGGGCCCCAGCTGAGCAGCAGAGACAGCAGCACAGCGCAGCAGCAGAAGTAAATACCAATGGGGAGACATAAACACAAACGCGAAAGAGAGAAAAGAGAAAGGGAATGGATAGAAGCAGGCAGGGGAATGGAGACAGGAGACAGCACACGGCGAGTAAAAGCAGAAAACAGGAGACAGGCGGAGAAGGCGTAAAGTATGAAATACAAAAGGGAGATAGGAGACAGAGCCAACAGACGGATTATAGAATAAAAAAACAGCAGACAGGAGACAGGAGAATACAGCAGTATTATAATATATATATATATATATATATATATATATATATATATATATATATATATATATATATATATATATATGAATATATATATATATATATATATATATATATATATATATATATATATATATATATATATATAGCAAGAAACACGAGACAGAATACAAAAGACAGAGACGTAAGACAAATGCAATGAACAAAAGACAGGAGAGACGAGAGACAAAGAGGAAACAGGGGACGGGGGTGAGTTGAGAAGAAAAGGAGAAGAGACCCCCGGAGACACCAAACCCT